TGGAAAAATCTTTGTTCTTTTTGTCTTGACAAGTAAATCATCTGACAACAAGATAAAGTCAATCCTAGAGAAGGATCTGTGTCTATCAGAAAAGAAAGTGTAGTCCAGTTCTTTTAGATTATGTATTCTCCAAACATCTTTTAGTTCCATATCTTCTTTCATGTCAAAAAAGGTCTGTGGTAGTCTGATTCTAGACTTTGCCAAACTCTTTTTATCTAATTTAGAATCAATTACTCCATTCCAGTCTCCCATAATTAAAATAGATCTGTAATCCCATTGCAGTATTTTAGTATGTAGCATCTTGTAGAAATAGTCCTGTTGTTGATTGGGAGCATAAATTCCAATCAAAAGAATTTGGCCCTTTGCCGTAAGCAATTCAATTGCTACAAACCTACCATCTTCATCTGTTTCTATAACTTTAGCTATTAATTTTTTATTTACATAGATAACCACACCATTCTTTTTTTGCGAAGTTGAAGATATAAAATGTATTCCTAGTTTGGAGTTTATCAGATATTTTTGATCTTGAGTTGTGATATGCGTTTCTTGTAAACAAATTATATCATTATTAAATTGTTTCAAATATGTAAATAATTTCTTCCTTTTCTGTGCTGAATTCAACCCATTAACATTCCAAGATAAACACTTAAAGGTCATCAGCCTCTTTTCGGAGCACAGAGCAAAATACTTGAAGGTCATCCGAAAGCTTCGATTTCGCTCCTCCCATAGCTCCGATCTCATGTGCAGTACTCTTAACTGCCTCCTTGTCTTGTCTTTCCTGTTGTTGTTGTTGCTTTTGTTTAAGTAACTTAGATTGAGCTCTAGTTATACGTTGATCCTTAAATTCAATCATCCGAACCGAGTCCAAAATTGGAGAAGATTCCAGCAAGGGCTCATCCAAAAAACCTCCTTCTGCACCTTGCACTCCTTCTAATTCCTGCTTGGACTGTTCTTGCAATTCTCGTTGAGGTTGCTTCTCTTCACTCTCTTTAATCTCCAAAACTGTAGATGTACGTGGAGATGGTGTTCTTACCTTGAGAATAGTAGTATAAAAGTGTTGTGCCTTCTCCACGGTATTCAAACGGCATCTTTCTCCCTTGTATCTGAAAATTATCCCAGCTGGTGCATCCCACCGGAAGGGTATCTGTAAATTTTGCAATTCCTTAACAAGAAAGCCAAATTCTTTTCTAGCTTTCAACATTTTAGGAGGTAATTCTTTAAAAATTCCAATTCGTGAGCCCCCGACTTGTACAGAAGTGTAAAAGGATTTTTGCAGGATATCATTTCTTATTTCTCTTTCTGTAAAATATATGACCACATCTCTAGGTAATTGTCTTTGTCTGGCCACCCAAGAGTTCACTCTGTAAATTTTGTCTATTTTATGAAAAACCACATCAGGATTAACTTGTAGAATCTTAGCCAAGGCCTCAGAACAGACTTGTCTCAAATCCTGTCTTTCCTCCTCTCGAATTCCCCGAAGCCGTATAGCGAACTCCATTGCCCTGAATTGTATCATAACAATCTCATCTTCAACTCTCTGCATTTTATTGTCAACATCAGCAATTTTATAGTCATTGTCTTTCATCTTTACATTAACTTCTGATTTAAATTCTTCAACTTTAAAATCAACTTTCCCAATAAATTCTGCCAGGCCAGATGCCACTTCTGATATTTTTTTTGGTCACCTTATTTTGATTCTGTTTCACCATATCTTTAACTTCATTAATTTCCTGCATAAATTCCTGGTGTGATTTTTGAAGTTTATCATCTATCCCCTGATGTGATTTTTGAAGTTTGTCATCTATCTCCTGTTGAGATTTTTGAAATTTATCATCCAGAGTTTTAGAAATGAATTCTTTTAAATCTCCCACATCAAATTCTCTTTTTTGAGTCTGTAACTGTTGAGCAGGGGGAAGCTGCGTTTCATGTTTGTGTGTGGGGGATCCCCCCCCTGTTGCCTTCCCTTCCTGCTTCTTTGAAGCCATCGTGCCACGTAAGCTAGTTTTTCTGAAGAGGGAAATTCTTTTTCCTTTCCCTCTTCCACAGAAACTTCTAAGAAAGTCCCCCAGATTTAATCAAGTGAAACTGAAGTAAAGCAAAGTCAAATTTTAGAAAAAGAAATTTTTTCTTTAGATAGAGCAACTTTGTAGCAGCTTTATAACTTTGTAGCAAAGCAGGAAGGCTTCACAAATCCACTTTCACTAGCTCGTTAACTCAAATGCTGGGCGCCATATTTTTTCAAATCACTTTCACTCACTCACTTTCTCTTTTGAATTAGAAAGTCAACAAAGCACTAATACTTGCAATTTTCAAGTTTCTGGATTCAAGTTGATATTTCCGCTGTTTGTTAAGTTTAGTTCCTTTCGCTTTAAAAGTTTGCTGCTGCCGGCTTGTTCTGCTAATTAGCAGAAACGTCCCACGCCGCCCGGAGTTTCAGCAGGTTGGAAGGGAGCCACGCCTGTTTCCTCCCCAGAAACAATTCCCTGGGGTGTTACAGGGGCTCGACCTGTACCCTGCTATCTCTTCTCCTTCAATCTTCAAGATTTTGGAGTTTTCGAGCCGCTCCTCGATCGCGGGGCGGCTCTACAGGCGGCGGGGCTGGCGGTCTTTAAAGAAACACCGCCGTCGCCGAGGCTCGCAAACCGGAAGTCCGGCCAGAGACAGCTTTATTGCACAAGGTTCAGAGCCAGTTTTTGTACATGAAGCTTTGAACAAAGAGAGAATTCTGATACAGCGGTTTTATACATTTCCAAGACAAAGGATTCAGTGAGATCATACATTTTCCATATATGGTTAATCATGAGATCATACATCCGATTTTCCCTATATGGTTACATACATTGGATAATAAGTTCATCTAATTACTTAAAGCATTAATCTTAGTTTATAAAATTATCTTAGCCACACAACTTTTCTTAAGTGCTTGGAGTTGCTAATGGGAGAGTTACTACTGTCCTTGGGTAAATTTATTGGATTAAGTAACTCTTTGTAACATATAGGTCTTTGTGTCATTCACAGTGAGGTCACTCAGATGTTTTTCCATATGGCAGTCCTTTCATGACATCTAGGTCTCAGAAGATATATTACCACTTAATGGGGTTTAACTGTTTGTTAATGTAATCTCCAACAAGCACTTTCCTCTCTTAAAATAATGTGAATAGAGAGGTTCTCTCAGAGTTCATGTATCTAAGCATGTCTTCCCTTATAATAAGGTGAATAGAGAGGGTCCCCCAGAGCCCATATATCTGACTCTATATGATTCCTATTTTATTCACATTATTTCTTATTTGCTATATTTACCTCAGTGCAACTAAGAACTTCAAAATAAAAGTTGATTGGTTTATAAATAATCATCTGTCCAGTTACATCATAAGAATTTATATGTAAGCATTTAGGATTGAAAAGAACATTGTATTCTGAATAAAAATAAAACAAACATTTGCAAGAGAGAAAAATGTGAGGATGTAAGATACGTTCCCAGTACTTTCCGGATTTGGGCTTGAATATTTGCTTTGTTCATGGAGGCTTGAAAATAGATGAAAAGGAAACCTTTATCTACAATGTATGGAATGCTTTCCTGCCAGTTATGGTTTCCAACCTTTTCTTGAAGGTTAAGGTTTATGTCTAATTATTGGCAATACATTTGCAAAAGGAAATTTTAAAATACAAGAAAACCCATGTTAGCTAGCCAATGCAACAATATACTACAAAAATCATATTTCAAATATTACATTATGGTGTGACCCTCAAGGGAAAGAAAAGTTTGCCATGGTCTTTCAGAACTGTAAAACTGTAAAACTGACTTCAGCCCAAATGGTTTGGCAGATTAATTTAGCCATTGAAATACTGTCATGCATCCTCTGCCTGGCCCATGCTTTTTTGCTTGCTAAATTCAAAGACTATCTCTCTACACATCACTTGGCTTCTGTACAAATGGACTTGATTTCTCAGGCAGTTCTTGGCCTTATTGATGATGTAGACAGTCTGGAATATTATCGCAAAGGTACCTCCCTTCCTAGAATCACATGGGCCATTTAGGCAGGGGTGAAATGCTCCCAGTTCGGACTGGATCGCCTAATCTGGTAGCGATGGTGGTGGGTGGTTCGGAAAACCGGTAGCAAAAATCCCTGCACCCCCCCCCCACCATGCTCAGCTGAGTCGCACGATCATCATCAGAGGCTTTTTTTTTTTACTTTCAAAAGCATTTTTTCTACAACTCTTCTGACGAAAAAATGCTTTTAAAAGTAAAAAAAAAAGGCTCTGATGATCGCGCGGCTCAGCTAGGATCCTCAGAGGCTTTTCAAAGCATTTTTTTCTGCAACCTCTTGGCCGAAGAGGTGGTTCAAAAATGCTTTGAAAAGTCTCTGATGATCCCAGCTGAGTTGCCTGATCGGCAGAGAGCCATTTTTTAAAATGCCTCTCTGACGATCCCAGCTGAGTTGCCTGATCACCAGAGGCTTTTCAAAGCATTAGAAAAAATGCTTTGAAAAGTTAAAAAAAAAAAAAAAAGTTGGCCACGCTCACCCAGTCACATTACCCCACCACCACCAAGCCACGCCCACAGAAGCGGTAGTAACACATTTTACCTTTCACCCCTGCATTTAGACCATCTATTCCAACACCCACTCCACTCAGAGCCTGAGTGGCGTAGGAGGCTAATGCCTCCTACTAAGGCAGCATTTAACATCCAGCTGCTTGCAATTACTGCGAGTTCAATTCTCACCAGGCTCAAGGTCGACTCAGCCTTCCATCCTTTCTAAGGTAGGTAAAATGAGGACCCGGTTTGTGGGGGCAATAAGCTGACTTTGTATAAAATATACAAAAGTATGAAGGCTATTGCTTAACGCATTGTAAGCCGCCCTGAGTCTCCGGAGAAGGGCGGCATATAAAAATAAATAAAATAAAAAATAAAAAAATCCAGAAATCGAAATGAAAGCATACTAGATACAATGGATGACTTCCTATCCTCTTGTTTTAAGAGCAATAAACAAACAAACAACTTTTTGCAAATCTTTCTGTTCTTTTACTTCAAAGATTGAAGACTTTTTAGTTCTTAAACAACGGGGCTGAAAATATGCATTATTCTTGCGTCAGTGAAATTGTCTTACCAGTTTTCACTAATACTGAAATTAATTTGTTTGCTCATTTGGACAACTGTAAAATATTTTCTGCAATAGAATCTACACTGCTTGTGCTGGCTTTGGAAGAAGAATGCTCAACATGTAATCTGTTATTGCAGTTGGGAAATAAGAGAGAGGCAGAAGGATGAATTTTGTAGGCCAGCCGACTGAGTAACGGGTACGAGGATAGCGAGACGTCAAAGCATGTTCTATGCAATCGGTGACCAAACACAAGTTCTTGCTGCTCATCTTCACGATTGTGCAGATATATTTGTAATCTAAAAAACATGAAGCAAAAATCAGTCAATGGGTTATCTTTCTATAGTAGTTTCTAAGCTATATTTTATATAGAGGAAAAAAATGAGGATTCCAACTCTCTGTTCTAGGAAAAAGGTAGAGTGGCAGACAAGGTGTCAGGTACTCTTGTTGTGTGCAAACAACAAAGAGCAAACAATGGAAAGCTCTCTCCTCAGCCCAAACGGGTAGCTGAAAATATTTATGATGCTTCAAAAGTGGAACGGCTATGAGATGGGTAGGGCCTGTCAACTCAAGGCTCGGGCCTGTCAACTCAAGGCTTGGGCCTGTCATGAGGTAGACTGAGATAATCACTTCAAGCAGGATGAATTAAGCATCCTGAAAGGGTATTAAATCGTTATTTATCATGTTATTTTATTTGTACTGTGTGACGATGGAGAAACATGGGATTTTCTACCGAATATAGAAAAATAACTGGGCTAGTTTGCATTTTGACCATCAGTGAGGGGATGAAGGGCAACCGTTCCTGACTTATTTCAGGCAGCCAAATATCTTGTGTTGGCTTTGGTTAACTTTATGATTCCTGCTCCTGCTGCTTCTGGATAACACATACACATACAAATACCCTTCTAGGGTTCTTCTTTTACTCACAGGCATCCAGGTATGGTTGTCCATAAAATTCTTTGACGTGTGGGGGCATTTTGCTGAACACACCCTGTAAGTGCTTATCTGGGTTAATGAGCATATTTGTGATAAAGCCTCCAGGCTCAATGATGCTGGTTCTGATTCCGAAAGGAGAAAGCTCTCGCCTGTATTGGAATAAAAGGATTACTTTTGCATAAGGAGAGTCTGTGAGGTGGAGGGATTAAGGTCTTGGACTAGGAGCAGAGAGACTGAGCTCTTACTCTACTCCAGCCACAAATGCTCCTTCGGGACTTGGGCTGCTTACTCCCTCTCAATCAATCTAACTCAGAAAGTTATTGTCGTGGAAGAAATAGGAGGTTGAAGTAATATTTAAGCTGCCTTGAGTTCCATTGTGGGTATTTCAGAGACCTTTCATTTTTGTGCATGTAAAAACTTGCAGCAGTTATCATATATAAAACAATCTTCCACAACTCTTTTCTAATTGTCTATCCAGTTCTAGTTTCAACTGAATATTGATCTTTAAAATTCTTTGTATCTTTGTGTGTAATTTGAATCCAAAATTGTCTGGCTTTTCTGCAAGTCCACCAAGCATGATAAAATGACCCTTCGTGTTGCCAACATTTCCAACATAGATTGGAAGTACCTTTAGACATTTTAAAGACAATTTTTCTGTAGTCATATGCCAACATTAAATCATTTTATAAAAATTTATTTTAAATTTTTATTTAAAAAAATAATAAAAAAATTAAATAAGAGAGAGAGAGAGAGAAGTTCCCTAAAGATGGGCTCCAGCACAAGTCCAAAAGCTTGGAAGACAAAAACCTCTGGTCCTGGTGACTGACACAGATTAGATCCTGAAAGAAAAATAGCTACTAAGTTTCCATTTTACCTCAGAGTGTCTGAGAAGGCTTCCACAGCAAACTTGGAGAGGCAATACCCGCCTCCGGGGGATGCCAGTCTTCCCACCACACTAGACAAGTTGACCACTCTCCCTCTGGCTCTCCTCACCAGGGGCAGCATGTGCAGCGTCACGTCAATCAGCCCAAGCAAGTTGACGTCCAGCACCTTGGCAAAATCCTCCTTCTTCAGCCACTCATTGGGAGCAACCGGATAATTTATGCCTGCATTATTTACTAACCCCCAAAGTCCTGTGAGGGGAAAAAAAGTGGGATTCAGGAGGATCTTCATTAGGGGTGGGTTCTACTTACCTTTACTACCGGTTCACAATAGGATTGCGCGTGTGCACGCGCAGATTGCTGATGACGACATTTGGGGTGGTGAGCGGGGCCTCCGGCCAGTTTTACTATCGGTTCTTGCAAACCGGTCTGAACCGGGGGCAACCCATCACTGATCTTCATGATTCTGTCTTGGAATAATCTTAGCTGGAACCCCAATTCCTTCAGTTCTGCTTTTTATGCCATGTATAATTCCCAAAGATAAAATTTGTTAATTCACCCTCCCACAAATATGAAAGTCAGCAAGAGGGAGGTTTGTTCCACACCTTTTTATTCAGATAGTTGCCAATCTTCTCTGAAAAGGCCTGCCTTTAGAAGGTGTGCATTCCATAAGGATGGCGAATCAGGTATGGTGTAGTGTTGACAGTGCTGGTATAGAAACCAGGACATTGAGTTCTAGTCCTGCCGTAGGCCCAAAAGCTGTATGGGTGACCTTGGGCCAGTACTTTCTCTTAGCCCAACACGCTCACAGGGTTGAAAATAGGAGGAGGAAGAAATACAGGTAGTCCTCAACTTATGATGACAATTGAGCCGAAAACTTCTGCTGCTAAATGAGACATTTGTTAAGTAAGTTTTGCCCCGTTTTACCACCTTTCTTGCCACAGTTGTTAAGTAAATCACTGCACTTGTTAAATAAGTAACATGTGAATAAGACAGAATAAAATAAGATAACCTTTATTGTCACTTTTGCTGGGTATATACTGGCACATATTAAAATGAAATTCTGATGCCCCCCCCCAAGTATGTATGTTATGTATGCATGCATGCATGTATGTATGTATGTACACGTATGTAGATACATACATACAGAGAAGGAAGTGAACTTCGAATAATCTTTTTTGCCATTCCCACCACAGCCCTCCTGTCCAAATAAAACAGTAATACAATATGACAGAATGCTTTCAATCCTTCCTTTATCAAAAGTGGTAAGGACAGGGGAAGGAAGATGTGCTCATATGACGCAGAAAGCAACCAAACTATCCTACTCGTTATTTGCCCACCCAGAAACTTAATACTACTAACCACCTCCACAGATGAATCCTTAATACACAGAGGTGTATGGATGTGCCTGCCTTTTCCAAAATCAACAATGATTCCTTTGTTTTTCCTACATTTAGAATAGGCCACCCCACCCCACCTCTGCAAATGGGATAAATGCCCACAATGGGTTGCTGCAGCGGAGACCCTGCAGTGAAGCGGGCATGGCCAGGCAGCTGCGCTCAATTGTCCTAGCCCTCTACTATTGGCTTCCCCATTGACTTTGCTTGTCAAGTTTACAAAAGGTGATCACGTGATCACGGGATACTGGAACTGTCATAAATATGAGTCCATTGCAGTGGTGGGTTTCAAATTTTTTTACTACCGGTTCTGTGGGTGTGGCTTGGTGGGTGTGGCATCGCATGGCTTGGTGGGTGTGGCTTGGTGGGCATGGCAGGGGAAGGATACTGTAAAATCTCCATTCCCTCCCCAATCCAGGGGAAGGTTACTGCAAAATCTCCATTTCCTCCTGATCAGCTGGGACTCAGGAGGCAGAGAATACATGGGGGTGGGGCCAGTCAGAATTTTTACTACCGGTTCTCCGAACTATTCAAAATTTCCGCTACTGGTTCTCCAGAACTGGTCAGAACCTGCTGAAACCCACCTCTGGTCCATTGCCAAGAGTCTGAATTTTGATCATGTTACCAAGAGGATGCTGTCATAAATGTGAAAAATGGTTGTAAGCCACTTTTTTCAGTGCTGTTGTAACTTCAAAGTTATTAAATCAACTGTTGTAAGTCGAGAACTACCTGTATTATTTATGTTTGCTCTGTGAGTTACTTATAAAATAATAAAGATAAAGGATTCCCCTGTTCAGTCATATTCGACTCTAGGGGGCAGTGCTCACCTCCGTTTCTTAGCCGAGGGTGCCAGTGTTGTCCATGGTCATGAGGCCAGCCTGACTATATGCCGAAGCACAGAGAACCCTGTTACCTTCCCACCAAAGTGTACCTATTTATCTACTTGCATTTGCATGCTTTCCAACTGCTAGGTGGGCAGGAACTGTGGCAAGGATGGGAGCTCACCCCGTCATGTGGTACTTGGGTCTCATTATCCAGGCTGTCAGCTTTTTAGCTGACAAGTCAGCATCTTTAACCACTGAGCCATCACGCCCTCCCTAAAGTAATAAAGGCAGGATAAAAATCTAATAAATAAATAGTCAATAAATAATTGGGGCCCTGTGAAATATGAAGGAAGGCCTTAAGGTCTCCTAGGAATTTTTTACTCTGGCAGCCTCCCTCCAAGCTGGTTTGTCAGAACAATACCTGAAATGTGTCAACTGTTGCTTCAGGCCTAAGGAAAACAGTTAGGGCTCAGCCCAAGACTCTCGACCCCTTGTTGTTTGATCTCAGGACCACAAGAATACATAGGGTAGCAATTCATGCTGAATTGAACTTGCTAACCAAAAACAGACATAATTATGGTAAATTATGGCATGGTATATTTCCATGGCATTAATTTTAGCCCAATCATTTTATGTCCTGATTTTGGACAGGGAGAAAAGAAAAAGCATAGAGAACTTGCTTTGGGAATCTGAATGATTAGACTTAAAGATACAGTGCAGTACACTGCAAAGGTTTTGCATAATAATCCCACTGTATACTTTTATGAAACATTTGTGGGTGGCGTAGCATAGGCATTTTTGTTTAAATATCAAAGGAAGGATGTATTGCCTTCTTAGAAGATAGGAAAAAGAGAGAAGAATAACATTTTATAACAAAGCTATCCTACCCAGAAAATATGCAGTGTTTTTGTTACTCTTATTTCAGAGGTGTCAAACTCACGGCCCGTGGGCCGGATGCTGGCCACAGCCACCCCCAGTTTAGCAAAGGGGGAAAAAGTCCCAATAAATCTAGTGACGACATGATGACATGAGTTTGACACCCCTGCCTTATTTGAATTAAATTATGGTATTATCATCATAATTTATGGGATTATTAAAGACTAATACTACTCTTTAAGATACTAATAATTTATTATTATTTTATTTTTATATATTTATTAATATATAATATATAATATGTTACATTACATTATATATATAATATAATATATAATAAAATAAAATAAATTTATATATTTATTATTATTACAAAGCAAGCAATGTCTGTCCTTCATGCCAATCTTTTAGTTATAGTCAGGATCAGAATTATTTTTTTTAATGTTAATGGTTGGGTAAGTATCCATATCCTGCATTTCTGTAAAAGAGAGAAATTGCATTTTGATTGCAGGAAAATCACAAAACCCTGTCACATTAAAGCCCCTGGTGAAGGGAAGCATGTTTTGCACTCGACAGGATAAAAATTTAGTGTTTGCAATTATTATTTCACAATTTTTCTCCTCCTGGTGGAATATGGCATAGTAGATCCTGCTTGGCATCATTTGTTCATTGGAAGGTATATTAAGGAGGAATAATTGGGTTATATTCTGTCCAAATTGATGAGCCAGGGGTGGGCCATTTTGTACTTTTCAGCTATTTTAATGGATGAATTTGTCCAGCCCATTGAGAAATGTTTGCACAATGACAGTCATAGAAGTCACTTCATCAACCACCTTGTAAACCGTCTATCCAGCTGAAGTGCTTCTCTAGCATCTGAAGTAAAGTAACACTGCCTTGACTGGCTGACTGATTTGAGTGATCTAAGGTGGTTTCTTGCTGCCTGTGTGAGAAATGCTTGTTTTATTGATAAAAAAATGCTTTTTGGGAAGATATCTGTTTTTTGTGCCAATTTCTTAGACTACGTGATACTTGCTTGGTATTTGGGACCTTGTGTATAAACTTTTGTTTGTGGTCGCTTGTTTTACAAATAATTTCCAAGTGAACTTATTCTGCAAAATAAAATTGATTTAATCTCCATCCTTGGTGTGTGATTAATTGGGCTAGCCTACCAGGCATTGAACCCAGGTTTTGGGGACAATAAAATGGAGGAGAATTTCAGTTCCTGATGAGGGCCTTAATAAATGTGAAGAAAAACGGAAAAGTGATACTAGTACCCTGTTTTCCCCAAAATAAGACATCCCCTGATAATAAGCCCAATCGGGCTTTTGAACGCATGGCAATAAGGCCAAGCACTTATTTCAGGGTTCAAAAAAATACAAGAGTAAGAAAATCAAGGCATTTTGGATAAAAATTTGGTGGGTGATGCAGAATATTCTGAAAAGAAGGTTGAAATTTACTCCTCAATTGTTCCTATTGGGTATAACTATGGACTGTACAGTATCAGAGATTAAATTGATTTTGAACTTAATATCAGCAGCTAGGCTGTTGGTAGCGCAATATTGGAAGAAGGACTCTTTGCCTACTATTGAAGAGTGGATACTGAAAGTAACGAACCTAGCAGAAATGGCGAAAATCTCAGTGTACTTGAAAGACTATACACAAGAAAGATACGTATCGGAATGGAGAAGATGGATTGATTATATTCAAAATAAGTATCAGACAAGAAAATATCAAATAGCTTATGAATGAATGTTAAGTATTAGAAGTATTATGTTATCTAAAGTGGAGTTAAGGTTTCAGGGGGGGAGTTAGTAGTCTGAGGATAAGTAGGTTAATCTAGTTTATGATTGTTAAATGAAATACCTTGTATTTTGCTCTGGGAAGTCTGGGAGGGCGGGTGGGACGAGGGGAGGGAAAGGGTGGGGGGAACATGGGGGGGAAGAAAATTCTTGTTTTTTTGTAAAACTTTTCAATAAAAAAAATACAAGACAGGGTCTTATTTTCGGGGAAACACGGTAGGAAATTGGAACAAGGAGTGCAAAGTGCAAGATTAAATAAGGTTAACTGAAAGACAGCTTTGCTAAAACTCAAGGGTAAAAATTAAAGTTGCAACAAAATATATACATATTAATTATTAAGACTAAGTAACTTGGCT